CATCTTTGTCATCCTCCTCTGTACGTTTTCCAGAGCATTTATATATATTCTGTAATACGGTGACCAGAACTGAGCAGCATAGCCTAAATGAGGCCTAACCAAGGATATATAGAGTTGAACAACCTGATGTCTTCTATTATTTATTCTGTTAGCTTTATTGCGAACACTAATGCACTGTTATCTTGGTTTTAGATTACTGCTAACCAGAACTCCTAAATCCTTTTCGCAATCAGTAGTATTAAAATATACATTATTTAGTTTATATGTTGCATGCTTATTTTCCTGTCCAACATTTAGAATTTTGCATTTGTCTATATTAAACTGTATCTGCCACTTCTCCGACCATTGCATCAGTCTATTCAAATCATCCTGGAGTGCTCTAGTGTCCTCATTAGAATGAATTGGACGGCCTATTTTGGTGTCATCAGCAAATTTGCTTATGTCGCTATTTATTCCCTCATCTATGTCGTTTCTGTAGATTGTGAACAACAACAGGCCCAACAATGACCCCTGAGGAACAACGCTTGCGACATGCCCCCATTCTGATTTCTCCCCATTTATGCAAACTCTCTGCTGCCTATTTGTCAGCCATGTCTCTACCCAGGAAAAAATTTCTCCTCCTATTCCGTGCGCCTGAAGTTTCCTCAATAGCCTCTGATGTGGAACTCTATCGAAAGCCTTACTGAAGTCCATATACACAATATCATATTCATTACCATGATCTACCTCCTCAAGCACCTTAGTGAAAAATGTTAGTAAATTCGTAAGACATGAATGCCTCTTTGTAAAACCGTGTTGAGATTCATTAATCAATTTGTGCCTATCAAGATGGCTTGAATTGCTTTTACAATTATTGATTCCATAAATTTTCCCACTATGGAGGTAAGGCTTATTGGTCTATAGTTCGAAGCCAAGGGCCTGCCACCTGCCTTCTAAATAGGTATTACATTTGCCATTTTCCACTTACCAGGCACTATGCCAGTTTGTAGTGATATGTTAAAAAGATTAGCCAAAGGTATGCTAAGTTCCTCTTTACATTCCTTTAACACCCTTGCAAACAGTTCATCAGGACCTGGGGATTTGTTAGGTTTTAGTTTCTCTATTTGTCTGAGGACCGTGTCACTAGTTACTGCAATCGTACATAGTTTATTATCCTGTGCTACATAATCTATTATTTCAGGAATATCGCTAGTATTTTCCTGGGTAAAAACTGAGAGGAAGTAGGTATTGAGAATTTCACACATATCCCTAACACTGTCAGTGATTTGACCAGAGTTACTCCTACGTGGGCCAGTCTTGTCCTTAATGTTACCTCTGTATACCTGAAAGAACCCTTTTAGGTTAGTCTTTGAAACCCTTGCGACCTTAGCCTCATAATCCCTTTTTGCTTTTCTTATTTCTTTCTTTATTTCTCTCTTTAATTGAATGCATTTATTTCTTAACTGCCCATCCCCCCTTTTGATACGCCTATATATGCCTCTCTTTTGACCAATGAGATGTTTTAATCTATTGTTCATCCATTTGGGATCATTTTTGTTAGATCTAATTTCCCTATTCGGAACAAAAATGTTGTCTGGGCAGCTAGACCTATGCTCTGAAAAACGTCATATTAGCAACCAAGATCACCTACCTGACCCATAGTCAGGACATCCCAATTTAGCCCAACCAGGTAATTTTTCAGTCCAATGACGTCGGCCAAGCGAAAATCTGGGACAGAGATTTGATTGCAGTTATCTGGGTAATTCCATGATATTTTGAAACTAAGTGATTTGTGATCACTTTCCCCAAGCTCATCATTAACCTCAAGATTATTAATTAGTGACTCTTTGTTGGCAAGAACCAAGTCAAGTAGATTGTTTCCTCTAGTTGGTTCTGTCACAACCTGTTCTAAAAAGCAATCCTGAACAGTATCAAGAAAGTCACTAGACTCAAGATTTTTACTGTCATATTGTGCCAATCAGTTTGTCTAAAGTTAAAATCTCGCATTATCACAACATTTTCATATCGAGATGCCTTATGAATTTTGTCCCATAACAGCTTTCTGCATTACCTATTAAGGTTTGGGGGCATATAAATCACACCCAAAATTAATTTGTCACGACCCTCGAGAAACTGTAGCCAAACAGATTCTGTGTTCGATGTTTCTAATCTTATTTCATGTCTAAGACAATTTAAATTTTCTCTGACATACATCGCCACTCCACTACCCTTCCTGTTGACCCTATCAGTGCGGAATAGTTTATAACCCTCTATGTTGTGATGAATGGTTTGAAAAACCGACAAGTTGAAGATTGAGACACTTATGCAGCATATGGGAATCTTTATTCAGGAAACGTTTCGCCACACAGTGGCTTCATCAGTCCAATACAAAGAGGAAGGCGTAAGGAGAGGAGGAGTATGAGGTAATCAGTCCCTCAACCTGGAGTCGATGTGTTCAGTCCATCAATCTTGTAGAATGTACAGCATAGGGCCGTAGACGTGGCTTATATACTGTAGTGAGGTGAGGTGAAGCAGGCGGAGGCGGGGTCATAGTGGTACCATCCAATAGTCGAAGTAGGTCTTCGTCCAATGGTTGAACAAGTGTTGAAGAATTCTTTGTAACAAGATCCCATGATGCTGCAGTGTCTGGACTGATGAAGCCACTGTGTGGCGAAACGTTTCCTGAATAAAGATTCCCATATGCTGCATAAGTGTCTCAATCTTCAACCCTCTATGTTGCATTCAGAAGGCATTTCTCTATCTTTCAGGTTGAACCAGGTCTCTGTTATACCAATAATATCTATTTTACCTACACTTGCAAGTAATCTTAGCTCATCTACCTTATTTCTTAGACTCCTACTCTTTGCATAGTAAACCTTAAGGGAGCTAGTCACTTGTTGCCCTCTGCTATCTCTTTCTGTTTGTTGATCAATTGATGTGCCATTACTAGCAATTTTAGTTTGAATATTGTCTTTTAAAACATATCCCTCAGGTATCCCGGTAATAATTGCTGTTTATAACCTTAATGCTGCAGCCTGATTGTTTCCCACAAACACACATACCTCTATAATCTATCAGTTTAAATTCCTAGACAAGTCATCAATTACCCTCTCAGTCGAATTGGCTAATGCAACCACTCCAGCCCCAAAGAGCTGAACCCCATCCCTTGCATACATATCACGTTTGCCAAAGCATAGGTCCCAGTTATCAATGAATGGGATTGCAAGTTCCTTGCAGTACCTGTCTAGCCAGCAATTTATACCAATTGCCCTAGACATCCATTCATTGCCCACTATCTTTCTAGGCAAGATGCTACATACGACTGGGATCCCTCCCTTAGACCTAACTACTTCTATGGCTGACTTGTGCTTATCCAGCACACCTCTCTCCTGCCCTTCCCAATGTTATTACCCCCAGCACTAAGACAGATAATGGGCTTGTTCCCATTACGTGACATAATATTATCAAACCTGCTGACTATGTCACCAACACCAGCTCCTGGAAGGCACACTCTCTGTCTGACCTTTCTGTCTCAGTTACAAACAACACGGTCCACATATCTTACCTGAGAATCCCCTACTATTAAAATATCCTTACCTTGATTAGCAGGGGATTCAGTGGTACCTTCAACCTCACTAACCACTGAAGTGCATTCGTCCTGGAGAACAGAGAGTCGATTTCCTACCTTCCCATCTTCTCTGTTAACCCTCCTTATCTTTCTTCTTCCTGCACTGTGAACCACTTGCCACTTAAAGCGGCTGCCACTATCACTGCTAGTGACAATTTCCTCCTTACCAGCTAAATCCTTCTCACACTCGCTCCCAAACTCATCTAGGCGAAGCTTCAGCCTCCTATTTTCCTCCTGAAGAAGTAGAACCTCCTTCTTCAGTACTTTAACCTGAGCTTCTAAAACACTACAACAAACCATGGCGCTTGGTAACACCCCACGCTAACTCCCAGAGCTTAGAACAGGTATGACTGCAGGTGACCACTGACCTCAGCGTACTGGTGACCCGGCCTTGGCTCCCTGTCTTGGGAGTGTTTCGAGACCTAAGTCTCTCATGGGAGGGGGTACAAGTACCTCCTCATCTTCTGGGACCAATTGTCCCCAGGCGTAGCCCCATTCCCCGCCATCACGGAGCTCGGATTGAGAAGCTAGGCCTCTGGTCTGCCCTGTTCCCCTCCCCAAGGGGACTCGTGGGAAGAGCAGTCTTTGTATAAGTTTATCTAGTACAGGTACACATTAATGCAATTATCGGAGTATATATAAAATATGCAATAACTTTAAAACATTTGAAGCTCTCTAGTTTCCAGACATAATCAAGAGACGTGGAACTCATAGAGGATGTAAACAGACAGAGTGGTGTATAGATGCCTTAATAGCGATCCAGGGAGCTGTATAAGCGAACTTTAGGTCATAATTTGAACTGTCCGTATTAGGGAATCGCCATAAAGTGGGGTCCTCCTGTATATTGTTTTTATTGTAACTTTTATTAGTAGTATCACTAACACTTTCATAAGTAGTAGCACTCACAATTTTATAAGTAAATAATTATAACATTTTTATAGGTAATTTTAAATTATCATGTACGTTGTGTCTTATTAATACACTTAAATAAAATACTATGTAGATTATATGCCTAAATTATAAGATTAGACAGGACAGGTGCCTAAAGTCAGTACCTGATCAGCTGGGATGTGGTTCGTACGTCGGTTTACATGCGGCCAGCAGTAACAGCCTGATTGATCAGTCACTGATCCACAACTAGGCCTGGTCTCAGACCTGGCCGCGGGGGCGCTGACCACCAAGCTCTCTCCAGGTATAGATCATAAGCCTAGATTATAAGCCTAGAGTATAAGCGTAGATTATATACATAGATTATAGGCCTAAATTATATGATTATAAGCCTATAATTTTGGTTGAATTGGTGTACATCCTATGACCCAGCATTCATAGTATTGTATGTTTGTAGTATACAGTAAGTCGGAAATAAAGATTTTAACTTTGTTTTCTTGTTCAGATTATTCAGTTCTATATCGAACTGGCGACTTTGGACGGATTGTTGACGGTGTTGTTGTGTACGAGGGACGAACAGACTCTCAGATCAAGATCAGAGGTCACCGAGTGGACATGAACGAGGTTGAGTTGGCAATGTTGAAGGTGGACAATGTTGACAAGGTTCATGTCTTGTGTTACAGGCCAGGAGAAGTAAATCAGGTATGTCTAACACTAATGATGGTCAGTCAGCTATATCTAACAGTAATGATGGTTATTCAGGTATTGTGGAAAATTGCATTTATCTGAATGTAACTCATTATGTACATACCAGTAAATAACAAAGGTAATTATTATTTATCAGAGTTACATAGACAACTAGGAATTTGGGACACCTTTGTCACAAAAAATGTCCCCCTTCGATACCTACAACTGTCATATCCACAAGTTGCGCTAAATCTATTAATTACAAATGAAATATACATCACCAGAGATTCTGGTAATATATAAATTTGTGGACTGTATATTAAAATTAATAAAGGATTATATACATACACAATTTGCATAACAGAAGGAGAATATATTAATATCACTCACCAATTTGACTGGAGATTAATGTGTCTCATACACAGAAAACCTCATTCTAACTAAATTTATGAAAATAATACTGGCCAGAATTATAACACAAATCTATATAGCTTATCTGAGGTTCCTGGAGCTGTCTTGTCCCAGTCGTCTGATATCTCGTTAAGCAGGACTGCACATCCAACAATTTCGGCTCCTATCTGAGAGGTGTCAGCCCAATGTTAACCTCTAGAGCACGAAAATTCTTCCGATTTCACTAACTTTCTGTTGACCAGTTCAAACAGCAATGGCGAGTCTCTTATGCTCAGGCGCAGCTTCTTCCCATTTTCGAAAACATAATTTTTATTATATACAATATAGGCCATCTATTTACCTATAAATTACCGTATTTCCGAGAAAATATACAGTATTTTCCACAGGTATGTCTAACACTAATAATGGAAAGTCAGCTATGTCTAACACTAATGAAGGTCAGTCAGGTATGTCTAACACTAATGATGATCAGTCAGGTATGTCTAATGATGGTCAGTCAGTTATGTCTAATACTAATGATGGTAAGTCAGGTATGTCTAATGATGGTCAGTCAGGTATGTCTAAAACTAATGATGGTAAGTCAGGTATGTCTAATGATGGTCAGTCAGGTATGTCTAATGATTGTCAGTCAGGTATGTCTAATGATGGTCAGTCAGGTATGTCTAAAACTAATGATGGTAAGTCAGGTATGTCTAATGATGGTCAGTCAGGTATATCTAACACTAATGATGGTAAGTCAGGTATGTCTAATAATGGTCAGTCAGGTATATCTAACACTAATGATGGTCAGTCAGGTATGTCTAACACTAATGATGATCAGTCAGGTATGTCTAACAGTAATGATGATCAGTCAGGTACGTCTAACACTAATGGTGGTCAGTCAGGTATGTCTAATAATAGTCAGGTATGTCTAACACTAATGATGGTAAGTCAGGTATGTCTAATGATGGTCAATCAGGTATGTCTAACACTAATGATGGCCAGTCAGCTATGTCTAACAGTAATGATGGTCAGTCAGGTATTTCTAACAGTAATGATGGTCAGTCAGGTATGTCTAACAGTAATGATGGTCAGTCAGGTATGTCTAACTGTAATGATGGTCAGTCAGGTATGTCTAACAGTAATGATGGTTAGTCAGGTATGTCTAACACTATTGATGGTAAGTCAGATATGTCTAATGATGGTCAGTCAGGTATATCTAACACTAATGATGGTCAGTCAGGTATATCTAACACTGTTAGGTAAGACACATATGCAACAGTTAGGAATCTTTATTATGAAACGTTTCGCCTACACAGTAGGCTTCTTCAGTCAAGTACAGAAAAGTTGATAGAAGCAGAAGATACTTGAAGACGATGTAATCAGTCCATCACCCTTAAAGTTTTGAGGTTTTCAGTCCCTCAGTCAGACATATATCTAACACTATTGATGATAAGCCAGGTATGTCTAATGATGGTCAGTCAGGTATATCTAACACTAATGATGGTCAGTCAGGTATGTCTAACACTAATGATGATCAGTCAGGTATGTCTAACACTAATGATGGTCAGTCAGGTATGTCTAACACTAATGTTGATCAGTCAGGTATGTCTAACACTAATGATGGTAAGTCAGGTATATCTAACACTATTGATGATAAGCCAGGTATGTCTAATGATGGTCAGTCAGGTATATCTAACACTAATGATGGTCTGTCAGATATGTCTAACACTAATGATGATCAGTCAGGTATGTCTAACACTAATGATGGTCAGTCAGGTATGTCTAACACTAATGATGGTCAGTCAGGTATGTCTAACAGTAATGATGGTCAGTCAGGTATGTCTAACAGTAATGGTCAGTCAGGTATGTCTAACAGTAATGGTCAGTCAGGTATGTCTAACAGTAATGATGGTAGTCAGGTATGTCTAATGATGGTCAGTCAGGTATATCTAACACTATTGATGGTAAGTCAGGTATATCTAACACTATTGATGGTAAGTCAGGTATGTCTAATGATGGTCAGTCAGGTATATCTAACACTAATGATGGTCAGTCAGGTATGTCTAACACTAATGTTGATCAGTCAGGTATGTCTAACAGTAATGATGGTCAGTCAGGTATGTCTAACAGTAATGGTCAGTCAGGTATGTCTAACAGTAATGATGGTCAGTCAGGTATGTGTAACACTAATGATGGTCAGTCAGGAATGTCTAAGAGTAATTATGGTCAGTCAGGAATGTCTAACAGTAATGATGGTCAGTCAGGTATGTATAACAACAATGATGGTCAGTCAGGTATGTCTAACAGTAATGATGGTCAGTCAGGTATGTCTAACAGTAATGATGGTCAGTCAAGTATGTCTAACACTAATGATGGTCAGTCAGGTATGTCTAACAGTAATGATGGTCAGTCAGGTATGTCTAACACTAATGATGGTCAGTCAGGTATGTCTAACAGTAATGATGGTCAGTCAGGTATGTCTAACACTAATGATGGTCAGTCAGCTATGTCTAACAGTAATGATTATCAGTCAGGTATGTCCAACACTAATGATGGTCACTCAGCTATGTCTAACGGTAATGATGATCAGTCAGGTATGTCTAACAGTAATGATGGTCAGTCAAGTGTGTCTAACACTAATGATGGTCAGTCAGTTATGTCTAACAACAATGATTGTCAGTCAGGTATGTCTAATGATGGTCAGTCAAGTATGTCTAACACTAATGATGGTAAGTCAGGTATGTCTAATTATGGTCAGTCAGGTATATCTAACACTAATGATGGTCAGTCAGGTATGTCTAACAGTAATGATGGTCAGTCAGGTATGTCTAACACTGTTAGGAAAGACACATATGCAACAGTTAGGTATCTTTATTTCGAAACGTTTCGCCTACACAGTAGGCTTCTTCAGTCGAGTACAGAAAAGTTGATAGAAGCAGAAGATACTTGAAGACGATGTAATCAATCCATCACCCTTAAAGTTTTGAGGTGGTCAGTCCCTCAGTCTGGAGAAGAGCATTGTTCCAAAGTTTGAAACAATATGGAGTTGAAGTGACAGGATGGAGCCTTATATAGCGCCAGGAGGTGAGACGTAGGTCACTAGTAGAACGCAGATGTTGGGAGGTCAGGTCCCTCTCAAATCCAGCCGTTCTCACTAGTAGAGGTAGTCGAAGTTGATTCCAGGTCTGTACCAAGATACCCTTGTGTTGCAGTGTCTGACAGATTGAACATTAAAATGGTATAAAATACCGACAGATTGTTAGGAAAGACACATATGCAACAGTTAGGTATCTGTTGCACATGTGTCTTTCCTAACAATCTGTCGATATTTTATACCATTTTAATGTTCATGTCTAACACTAATGATGGTCAGTCAGCTGTGTCTAACGCTAATGATGGTCAGTCAGCTATGTGTAGCAGTAATGACGGTCAGTCAGGTATGTCTACCAAGTCTTTTAGTGTTTTGGAAACAGTATAAAATGCAATGTTTCGGTTTACAAAGACACATGAGCAAACACTGTCACATATTTATTAATAAACTTTTCGGTCCTGAGACCTTGATCACTTTTAACAGAGAGTGAGGTGTGAGTAACTTAAAGAATGCCATTTTGGGATGAGGACGAGTCGAACCATACTACGAGCGGGGATTAAACTCATGGCGAGTCAGCCGTAAAACTCCATTCCAGTGGTATCGCTCATCTGCGATCGTGTCATTACGATTTCATAAGTCTCATGACGGGTAGACAATGGAATCATGTGAATCCTGTGTTGTTAAGTGTCCGTTGTTTACCTGGTTCAGTATCATGTATGCTAATTTTTTTGAAATTTTGTAGTTGTCAGTGTTATTACAAAATTTCATAAATATTAGCATATATGATACTCAACCAGGCAAAGAACAGCCTACTTAAAAGCACATAAGTCACCGTGATGATGAATATGATGACTTAGTAGCTAGGAGTGATAGCCTTAACTTTGTAATGCATGTTGAAGACAATGTGAGGCCATAGAACCAGTGCTGTTACCTCAAATAAAACCAGATATATGTTTACATTGTACTAAGGTACGGAGGAAGAACATTAAATACACCGTATGTAAATTGTGTAAGTTGTGGATGAATGAATGGTCATGTTAATGGTGCTAAATATCACAATGCAATTTAGCTCCATTACACTTTAGTAGTGCTGACCTTGATTTAAATAACTTTTTTACCTACAAATGAAGCCTTGCCATATACTGATTATGATTGTTTCAAGAAGGGAGGCTTTCACTTTATTCACGTGAATGCTAGGTCGCTTTTAACAAGACTAGAGCGACAGTTATATCCGTCTCTGAATCCTGGTTACATGACACGGTGACTGACAGCGAAGTTAAAATAGGCTACAACATAAAGCGCTGAGATAGGAATAAACAAGGTAGTGGTGTATGTTCCTGTGTAAGAAATGGCTTATTCTAGAAACCAAGGCCCGATCTAAATAACAATAAACTGGAGATTCTATAGTTTGAGGTGTTGCTGCCCAAGACCAAACCTCATCTTTGTAGGAACTAGTTACTCCTCTCTTCCCCTACCCATGATCAGCTCTTGGAAGATTTTTTAGAGTCTTGTCCAGAATTAAGCAAATTGC